AGAAATGCGTAAACTGAATACTAATTATGAAGGTGACATTAAATTGCCATTATTGTGTGGCAGTTCGCTCTCACTGTGCATGAGGACCTATTTCAAGTATTACTGTCAGAATGAGCTGTTTTGAAATTTTGATGAAGGCAATTAAGTACATTGTCAAGAAAAAGCATAAATTATTTTTTTCGTGATAAGGAACGAGTATGTTACAGAATAGGTGACGACTTAATCGAAGTGCCTCAGCGACGTGCCATTATTACTTTACGGGTCGAAAATGTTGTCGTTAGCGATAATCGTTGGCATAACTTTAATGTTACAAAGGTTATTATAAATTTATTAGTGTTTCTGGCGGTTACCTGCTTGAAACCTTAAGTCAAACCTTGCTATTTTTAGAGATGGGATGAAATTCGTGTACAAGTTGATAATAAAGTCCAGGAAACAAAAATTTATCAAAGAAATTTTGTCTTTTGTACTGGAGAGGAATGCTCAGATGTTTACATTGGTGGGATTCCAAAGGTTTACATTTAAATAATGGCTATATGACTGAAACTTTTTTTTTATTATCGCTACTACTGTCTACTTTGTTGCAATGACTATTTGAGTGAAAACAGCACTTTTGTTGCAGGAACTTTATTTGTTACCATCAATGAGCTCACCGTTGAGAAGGTATACGAAAACATTCGCCGGGACTGTAAAAAATCTGATTTACAGTATTGCACCGCACGGTTGAACTTGAATCTTGTTTTGTATTTTTGCATTTGTTCCGTGCTAGACTAATTTCTTTATTTAAAGGCATGACATCACCGCCATTAATAAAAGAAGTGGGGCTAAGACAGTCAGATGAAGACTACTGTGAACCGCCAAGGTTGTCCGAACGAGAGGAGTACTACTGCAGAAATGAGGGATTTTGTTACAGCACAAATGATGGGCCAATGTGCGACTGTTCATTTTCCGAATTTGATGGAAGACGGTGTGAACAACGTTAGTGAAAAAATTTTGTAATCAGTAGTTTTAACTTAGTACGAAATAATCATTTGAAAAACCAAATACGTAAGAATCTGTAAAACACAATGTTATTTTTAGTTTATGTACACTAATTCAATACGTTGAAAATAGGTGACAAATTGTGTCAAGAAAGGTAACATTCAAACTTACCACAGTTTTTGTTTTCAGCAAAAGCCACTGCAGAAATTTCGTTCTTCAAAGATGAATTTCTTGGTTACGACGAAAGCAACAACCCAGCAGCAATTCTTCAGTATCGTTCAGAAAATGTTTCGTTTGCCTTCAAGACAGTTCATGGAAACGCCATACTATTTGTTGCTGGGCATAAATTGGTGAGAATAAGTTTAGTTTGGATGTTACCAAATCTGGCTTTAAAATGTTTTCCTTTAAATTTTAAAGGATTTTTCACATAAACTATTTTGAAGCTTCAGTCTCTTTATCTCCAAAGTGAGTGTAATATTAATTGTGTGGAGTATAGATAGATGGAAAATATTTTAAATAAACGTGTTTTTAAGCGGCAATGAAGCTTTGAAACGAAACTAAATTTTTGCGATATTACTTTAACGATTTATTTTTTAAAAGACAGTATTGTTCTGCAGTCAATTATTTGCAACTGACAAGTGTACTGTTTTCAAAGCGAGAACTAGAGAGGTACATCTGTATAATACATTGTGTTAAAACGTTAAAGAGATTTCAGAATTATCTTTACATCATTCTGGAAAATGGCTTGATTATTGCTATATCGAAATTTGAAGGAACTGAAAAACGAGTTTTACGTTCTTTTAACGAGGAGCATTCTAAACGCTATGACGACAATACTTGGCACACGGTAACTGTGACTCGATCCTTGTCCATGGTATTATTTTGATTATTTCTTATTCTTTTGCTTACAAAACTTATTTAAAAACACTAGGCGATATTTGTAAAATATTATTTCTGAAATTTATTCGTATAAGAGCTATGAAAAGTGTTTTAGCACAGTAAAAGTTAGTAATTACATAACTAGTGAGTAAGTTTGACGTCGTATTTTGTTCGCTACGTTACTGACGTCAAAATTACCGCATAGTTTTCTTCTTTTCTTTCTTTCCTCTTCTAAGTAGTAAGAGAATTATCAGAGACAAACTGTATCCAGCGAAATTTTGAGAGTTAAAATTTCTTATCAGGATAATACACAGTTTTTGAAAAATTTATTCAGTTGCTTGAAATATTTGTTGAATGGCTTTGCTGAATGATTACTGACTGTGACTGTAAGCTTTTTAGCTGTGACAGTTTAGATTTCAGTTTTTAAGTGCTTTGAAATAATAGTTGGTGAAATTTGTGATATTTTAGATTTTTTATCTTTATCATGTCAGTATAAGTGCTTTGATTATCAGTTGCCTTAACCTTATGCTTGTAGCCACAAAAAATTTAACAAAAAATTGTGAATAGAAAAGCGATTTCAGAATTTTAAAGCAGAATTTTTTTTGTTTTATTTTTTTACAATTTTCTATATATTTCACATATTATTTCTGCAGAAAAGTGAATATACGTCGTCTGTGAATGTAAGTGCAATTGGAATGGTTAAGTTTTAAGTAATAGTCGATGAGTAAATCATATATATATTCCTCTAAAGCTTTAAAGAAGCCGCATGTTAATGTACAATTTTTATTGTTCCAAATAAATGCTGAGCAAAAACAAAGAAAAAAAAAAAAAGGAAAACAAAAGCGAAAAAAAAAGAAGAATCTAAAAAGAGATGATGAAACGAACATTCCTCTTTCTGCTTAAAAGCATGTTTGTACTTAAAGAAGCGGTTTTTTCTTGACATCCATCTTTCCTGAGTTCAAGCTTGTGCTTCAACATTGAGTTCATTATTATTTTTCTTTTGTTATTGATATTTTATTTGCATTGAAACTGTGTTCAGCTTTTGTATACTGTTCCATACTAAATGCTTCATTTCTCACATTAATTAACTCTTCCAGACTAAGCTTTCTGAATGAAAGTTATTGTAGTTGTAGTTCTTCTTAAACACTAACAAAATCTGTATGATTTTTTTTATTGACAGCTATGGCCCTTATGTTGTGTGTTATTATAATTTGCAACCATCGATTGTTCATACAGGGTACCGTTGAGTTACACTAATTAAAAACTTACAGATGGTTTTAACAGTTGACGGCCGAAGTGATAAGGTAGCGCAATATGCACCCGGTCTTTACTGGTTGACTAACTCCTACGGATTTGTTGGAGGTCTTCCGGAATATAAGGCTAAAGCGTTTAAGACGTTACATGGAAATTTTCGAGGATGTATGAAAAAAGTAAAATACTCAGTCATACCATTTTTTTGGCTGGTAGCTAGTAGCCATTTCAACAGTTCTACTTTTTGAGAGGTTTTGTTGAGAGCATTAACTTAAAGTGGTAAAGTAAAATGACAAAACTAAAAAAATTTAGATTAAGTATGAAGCTGATGCTGTTTCAATCAACTTTATTGAACTTGCCGGCTATGAATTGGGCGAATCAGTTGTCAAAGCTCATGGAAACTTGGCATTTTCTTGCCGAAGGCCTGATGCTCATCCTGATGTTTTATCGTTTAATAGTGGCCAAAGCTATCTGACTCTACCAAAATGGATTACCGACGCTAGTGGAAGTATAGGTAGTCGCTTTTATGCCTTAATTTTTGTGCATGGTTAACGTTTGTCATTTTGTACGCTTAAGTGTTCAGGATTTGAGCTGCGGACAAGAACAAGCGATGGACTCATTCTGTATCATGGTGTTAAAGATCCTTTTAATGATACTTCAGACTATGTCGCTTTTGAGCTGGTAGACGGTCACCTGTTTCTGATTATTAACCTTGGTTCTGGTTATGTGAGAATTGAGGTGATGGTTGGCTTCCCAAACTAATTCTGATCTAATTAGTACAATTTGATATCGCTAGTTCTGTCTTCTACAAGCTTTTAAGCGGAGAATTCTTTTTGTGACAATTTCGCCAAAATTTACTGAGTAAAATGGAGATTACTTTGCTTGTTATATCGTTCTACTTAATCGCATTTTTTCATAACGCACATTTATGTTTACAAAACCTTAAAGAATTCTTTAAAGTTTTGTAGATAGTCACATTTTAAACATACAAACTGCTAAAGGAAATAATCTGTTTAGGCTACAGATTCTAAAATAAATGATGGAAAAGTCTGGCATAGCGTCAATTTGTCAAGAGTGGGTCGCAGTGGTACTGTTACTGTTGATGGATATCCTGTTCCTTTTTCTACTCCTGGGGTTTCGGCAAATCTTAACATCGGTTAATTTTGGTTTTGAGGTTTTTAAAACAATGCTCGTGTTTAAGAATTAATTATTTTGGCTTAGAGGACAAAATATTCATTGGCGCAGCTCCTTGGATACAAGACAATCTGGGAAGCTCAGAATACCGTTTTCCACCTACTGTACTGATGGCCAGTTTACGAAAAGGATATGTTGGTTGTTTAAGAAACGTACGTGTTAACGGGATCAGCTCGGAAATTGCTTCAGTTTACGAAGATCAAAAAACAATTTTTGGTGACGGTAAGTAGTTAATGTTTTCTTATGTTATTATATATGCAGTTTCTGTACTTCTGGGACTTACAACAAAAACTTTTTACAAGTCGTAGTAATGAGCTAAAATACGTCGAATAAGTGAAAAATAAGGCGTAAAAATTTTTAGATACGTCATTCGCATACATCTAATTAGAAAACTGTTTTCTGCCAAGTTTTTGGCTTCATATTTTTTTAATGTAAAAAATCTTAAGACATCACGCTTGGATGTAACAAAAGCCTTAGCCAAGATTTCTGTGCGTTTTCACCATGCAAAAATTCTGGACGCTGCGAAAACGGCTACGGCAATTACAGCTGCGATTGCTCAGGCACTTATATGGAAGGTCACAATTGTGACACTGGTGAGATTATCGAGTCATTTGAGTCTTGCACGCTTTGTATTTCTCAAAATGTTCTTTGCAGAACCTCAGGTTGTTGAATTCAGTAAAAATATTGACCCACCAAGTATCTTCGTCTTACCGTACACTGTTTATGGTGACGCAGAAACAATTGAATTCAAATTTCGCACTGATAAAGAAAACACCATTTTATTGGATACAAAAGCTGAAAATGCTCGACACAGAATTGCAGTTTTTCTGCTTACGGGAAAGCTTGTTTGGGTTTTACGAAAGGACGGTGATCAACATGTGAGTCATGGCTTTGTTTTGCTCACATAGTGCAATTGCTTCAGTTACAGTATTTCAGGTATTTGACTGGGGTAATCGTTTGAACGATAGTCACTTTCATTCTTTCAAAGTTAAACGACGTGCTGAAAAGATCGTTTTTTTTCTGGATGGAAAATCGATTCAAAGCTGTATGTTAATTATTTTTTTTAATGAAATGTTACTGGTGTACATAAAATGGCTTTTTTGATGATTTTATTTCAAATGCTGTTTTTTTCTAGTTATTTTAAGAAAAAAAAATCAAAATTGAATTTCAATTTGTATATAAATTTTATTTCCAATATTAAAAAAAAATTTTTATAGATATATTGCCATCTAACGATACTGTTATTCAAATAAATCATATAGCTGCTGGATATTTATTTGCACCAGCAAAAGACGTTTATGAAGCTTACAAGACAGATTATACGGAACAGCATTTTGATGGACAAATGATAAAAGCTTTTTTTAATGGTTTTGATCTGCTGATCAATAAAAGACGATCATTTTTTAATTTTGGCACAGAGCGCACTACATTAAACGATAGAGATTATCATAAAAATAAACATAGGTAAATTTTAATTTTAATTCTTGACCTGTGTGAAAGTCTTGAAATTTACTGATTTTTGTCGAGTTTTGAAATATTTCTATCTCAAGTGATGAACATTTAAAAGTGAACTATTACAGGAAAGTAAAACATTTGCCAGTGACTTTTGAAACCAACAGAGGTTTTGCATTTTTCGCGCAACGTTATCTGGGAACTAGTGAAAAACTTCTTCGAGTATCGTTCAGATTTCGTACTTTAATGTCGTCTTGCCTTCTGTTTGCATCTCTGTTTGATTCAAGTCGACAAACCATTATGTTTGCGTTAGAACTCATCGATGGAAGGGTAAAGTGAGTTATTTCTTTAAGTATACATATAGGCATAGCAATGTTGTAGAAGCTGTAACCCTGTAAAATTTAGGATGACTATTGGTTACGAAACTAACTTTGATACTGTAACAACGCAAATTCAGAACGCAAGGAATCTGTTGAATGATATGAGATGGCATTCTGTACAAGTTTACCAGGTATTTTTTGCATTTTGAGATGCAATTATATATTAGTCAGTTGCTGTGCTGTACTTGTACTGTTGGAAAAATTATTACTACTTTTGCAAATAGCAGTGGATTTCTCGCGAGACCAAATAGATTCTACCGTTGAACAATGTAAAAGAGCTACCAGCTACTTGAGAAACAATATCGCAAAAAATTCTGGACCGATAAAGTCGCGCCAAACTTTATTTTCTTGCTTGTTTTATACAAGTTTTTGGATTACTGCACTTTATATTGGTCATTCAAAGTGTATTTAGTTGATTTTGAATGCATTTTAAGAATAAATCAATTTTGCAAATATATTTTGAAGACAACCTTTTTCTCTAAATTCTCATTTTATAAATCGTTTTTATTATTCTTGGCGTATAGTTTTGTTCACTGGGTTTTTTCCTTCTTTTTTCTTACTTTAGAAGCACATCTACTTTTTTGATCATCTTGGTTTCTGAAAAACCAATGTTTTTAGGCGAAAGCAGAACCAGAATATTACTTGGTTGTTGACAACATGAGCCAAATACTAGAGTCAAACAATCTTCAAAATGTGGATTTAAGGGGAGATTTATATTTAGGCGGTTTACCAGCAGAGAAGAACTTTATTTCGAGGTTAGTTTCTTCTTTTTCAATTTTTGATTTTAATTGATTTTTTAGGAGAATACCTTAATAGACAATAAAAATTATGGATTCTTTGTATTTTTTTAAAGGTTTTCAAAGGTTACTGGTTTTCGAGGATGTATATCAAATTTTCATATTGGCAATGAAATTTTGGACATTCAAAATGACTCAGATCAGGTTTATAACGTTTCAAAAGGATGCTATGGTACAGTGTTGACGTTTTTTAATTGATTTTTACATTTTGTACTTTAATTTTTATTATTTTAATGAAGTTTAAGTTGGATTGGGCCACTATGAGGCAGTTGTGTAAAGTAATTTAAATAATACCAGAAAACTGTTTTTGTTGTTTAAAGCAAGGAATTCTGAATCAGAGAAAGATTTCGTAGAGATTAGTGATTTGAGTATTTGAACAGGATCTGCGGACCGAACCTCTGTCGTTGCTCTGTAATTGCTGAGTGTAAAATGGGTTTTTTGAGTTTTAGTCTCATTCTTATCTGCGATTTAAACAAGAAGAGGATCTGAAGTTTGATTAGTTAAGCTAAGTCGTTTAGGTCCGCAAATTCGGTGCAACCAAAATCCTTGTCTTAACGGTGGTAAATGTCTGCAGCGATGGACTTCTGTTATTTGTGATTGCTCTATGACTACTCATGGAGGATCTCATTGTGATACTCGTACGTTTTCTGACTTTTTAGTTTTATTCTAGGTGTGCAGGTTACATTTGAATGACTAGATGGCTTTTGATTTAGGGGTAAAGTATTCATAGTAACTTGTAAAATTCAAAGTTGTAAGCACTTCACAAATAATACAGAAATTTGACAGTAACGAAAAGTGCATTTCTTCTATTGTAAATACTATTTAAAATTGTTCAAGCTCATTATTAAACTATTTTTTAGCTGGAACAACATATATTTTCGATGCTGCTTCTTCAATGATATACTACGAATATCCCGCATCTCGTCGACCATCAAGAATTCATGACAAAATTGCTTTTGGTTTTCAAACTCTCCAGTCATCTGCTGTTTTGCTAAGCATTCAGTGCAGTGCAGAAGGAGATTACTTTGTAATCTGTTTGGTACGTTAAACACGAAAATAGTAGAAAAAAGTTTATTTTCATTACGACAAGAAATATCTATAAGTCTGAATTATGATTTTTAAATACAAGTTTTTCAAAGGTAAAAACTTGTTAGCACTTCCAATAATTTAATTTACTTTCTAGAAAGATGGATTTTTGCAAGTAAGATTCAATCTGGGACAACACGATCATGTCGTGAAACATTTGAGACGAGCTGTTAACGACAACCAATACCATACACTTCGAGTCTATCGTGATGAAGCTAATTTGACAATTAAGCTTGATAATTTAGACTACAAATACGCTCCACAAGGTACAGCAGTTGCAATTTTTTGTATTAGTTTTACACCAAGTTCTTAATGTCAGTTGAGGTCTTGATAAATAAGTTTTCTGATCTTTTCTAGAAGGCAATGAGTTGAAAACGTTGAATGAACAGTGGAGGATTTGCATAGGAGCATCGTTTGCGCGGGATCATCACTGGTATATGCTACGAAAGAAGAAACGTCATGTTTTTGACTCATTCAAGGGCATCATATCTGGTGTCAACGTTAATGGACTGATGCTGCTTGATATGCATGCCAGAGGTGAGCTTATTTCTTAATGCCATATTTTGCTTTCTTACTTTGTTAAAAAATTGTCTGTAATATAAGAATAAGTTGTATCGTTAACTATTGGTTTTTACAACGTAAGACACACTTTCTTGATTTCATTCAACTTTGGTGATGTTGACAGCACTGCTTGTATGGCTTACAAATGGTTTTCACTTTCAAAATTGAAACACTAAAATTTTTTAGTTATTCATCAATGTGCAAATTAGAATCAGTATTCTTTTTTTCATTTCTGGTCAGTACATTACAAAAAAAGGCAATAAAAGATTTTTTTTGGAAGTGAGTTAAAAAAACTAGCGGAGAAATTGACTGTTGGTTCGAGAAATAAACAAAAGTTCACAGTCTTTAAGTGTGATATGAAGTGGTCTTGAATTGGGAAAAATAGATTGTAGCTTTGGTCGATAAAACAAAAAAAAATTTATTTTTTAATGTAGTTAATGAAGAGCAAAAATTGAGTGCTTTAGATCAAAGTCAAATGAATATAAAGGGATTTTTCAAAAGTGCTTAATTTATATATTGTTTTCACTTTGTTGCCGTAAATCACAGTACTGTTTGCAACTTCTTTTTTAACTGCATAAAACTTGTTTTATCTAGCTCTTTAACTTAGGTCTCTTTTTTATCTTTGAAGAAGGCATCTTATTCTGTGTCAGTGAGACTATCTTTTCTGGTACTTTCGCCATGAATTTTTCGCCCATTCTTCTGCACGTGAAAGTTTTTCAAATTGTCTGTCAGTCTGATACTGCGCAGCTTGAACGCAAAATTTTTTTGTACAAGATGCTGTGGGTTTTTTAAATATCTGATTCTACATTACTCTAATTTAGTGGTACGGAAAATTGCAAAAAGAATGCTATCTATTTTCTCTTAAGGATGAGAGGCAAATTCTTCTCTTATTCTGAAAAATTGCTTTTTAGAAACAGAGGTTCGTTTTATAGGAATATGCACATTCTTGAAGTGTTCAAGTTGGCGCAGTTGAAAAAAAATAAACGTTTTTTTCGCATCTTTTTTATAAAAGAACTTTATTCTCAAGAATGAGAATCTGAAAGAGTATTTGTTTTTGGAGCTTTGAAAAAATGTGAAAATTATAAATTTGTTTGTTCAATGTAGCAGGAATAAAATTAGCAGCTCTAAAAGTGGTCATACTTTTGTTACTGTGTAAGGAGCTGAAAGAGAATTTTTTGTTGAAAACCTTCTGCAGTTGGATATATGCTTAGCCACTGTACACTGAAATTGGTTGCACTGAAATCTGTTGGCGGTTTAGTCTGGGCTAAACATTGACACACTCCTGTCGAAGTCATTCTTTAACTGCAGCAATTGTATTTATCAGTGTGCTTGTGGGTGTCCGTCAACTTGTCCATGTGCGTGTCATTGCTGAGGCCTTTGTCTGTGTTCCAGTGTCCATATATATTTGGTTGAAGATGTTAAAAGCCCACTAACATTTATGAATGCGCATTTTCTGATTTAATTTTGCCGCTCAATAAAGCTTTATTGCCTTTTTTCCTTTACTTTCTTTGTTGAATTTTATTTACATCACTCTGTCTTATTATTTTTCAATTCAGCTTTAACTTCTTTAACTTTTTTTTTCGTCTAAACCTTTTTTCGACTATTGAAAAGGGTTACAGTCTCAATGTCTTTCACTGCAACCATTTGTTTTCTAAAGAACTGGGTACTTTTTGGTTTTGTTAACTGCAAACAGAAGTCAGCTTTGAAGCTAAAGGAGCAGAAGGATAGCAAAAGGAGATGTTCTAGTATTATGAATTATGTGTATGTAGAAAACGATGGGGAGGAAAGTTATG